GTTTTGCCACAGAGCCCATATGAGCCACAAAGCGTTAAAATATTTACTCCTTTGACCTCTGCAAATAAAAAGTTTACCAAACCCTGATGATTGGCAACCAGATAATTTCCTTGTCCCCGTTCATTTATAACATCATTGGTGCCCTATGATTAGTGTCACTATTTTATGTAGAAACTTGGCTTTTTCAATAAGGAAAGCAACTCAAGTAGGCAAAAGAAGAGGGCAGTGCCTATCTGCTAAACAGCTGCTTAAGATGGATTCACAGAAAAGAGATTCATGAATAAAAAATTACAGATACAAATTCTGGCTCTAATATCTGCTATACTTTTTACTGGGGCCAAGATGATTGTATTAGAATAGTCTGCCTATTCTTCTTTAGCATAGGAAATTCCCTGGCTGGATAAGGTGACAGAGCAAGTTTTCTTCTCTTGCCTATACTCTGGTCTGCATACAGATTAATCTGTGGAATCTGAGACAATTGGCAAATCTCTCATGAGTACCCTTGGATTGTCCAGAACTCCACCTCTCAGCTGAGTGAAGAGGTCAGTCCAAAACTTGTTGAACCCAATCACTCTATCTCCAGTGTCCAATCACCAAAATTGTTTTGGAATATTGATGAAACGTACATGCCCTTCCCTCAAGAAGACTGTATCTCATGGAATGGGGAGGGAAGGGGGGATTGAGGACTTAAACACATGAGTCCACCAGTCATAGTCATGAATGTGCGTATCCATTGCAGCCCTGCAGTATGGTACACACACATGCAACTATGTACCAAGCACCCCAAACAATGAGAAGGTAAGCAAACGAGAGCACATTGTGAGGGTGCATGATGCTAAGTCGTGTAAGTCCATTTTATACTAAGCAAAGGGATAAGCAACTTTATAATAAGCAAAAGGAAAAGTTAACGTGGGGTACATCATATATGTTAGATGAATAGCATGTGGAGAGGAGTACAGTAAGTTTGCTTGTTTAAAATCAGGCACAAGAGCTGGGATGCAGCAGAAAGAAAAGGAACTTGGGGGAAAGACAGGAGCATTGAAAACATGGGAGCAAAATTAAATGGAGGGAAGGGAAAGTGGGGAATAGAGCAAAAAGGGAAGAAAGCCATGGAGTGGGTCAGCGAACTGAAAGTACACACTTATGCCCATAACCCATTTTTATTTTGAATATAGGTATAAAAAGCAGTTAACTCTTATGTTTTAAGCCCTCACTTTCCCCTTTTCATTTCTATTTGAAGTTTGGTTGTCATTTGCTCTGGCATACGTGGAATTAAGTGGATTACTTAATTCAAAGAAGTTGCTGAAAGGTTCTGGGCTTTTACTTGGTTTGTAATAGTTCCATGGTGCTAATCTGTGCTCTTCCTTCCAAGGTGGATCGTATGTCTTTCCCGTGCGGCTGCACTAAAGAAGGATGTAGTAACACAGCAGGTAGAATTGAATTTAATCCTATCCGTGTTCGGACTCACTTTTTGCACACAATAATGAAACTTGAACTGGAGAAAAACCGAGAGCAGCAAATCCCCACGCTGAATGGCTGCCACAGTGAGATAAGTGCTCACAGTAGTTCCATGGGCCCTGTCGCTCACTCCGTAGAATATTCAATCGCAGACGGTTTTGAGATTGAAACTGAACCCCAGGCTGCAGTGCTGCACCTGCAGTCGGCTGAAGAATTAGATTGCCAAGGAGAGGAGGAGGAAGAAGAGGAGGATGGGAGCAGCTTTTGCAGTGGAGTCACAGATTCTAGCACGCAAAGCTTGGCACCTAGTGAGTCAGACGAGGAGGAGGAGGAAGAAGAAGAGGAAGAGGAGGAGGAGGATGACGATGATGACAAAGGAGATGGCTTCGTGGAAGGTTTAGGCACCCATGCCGAAGTTGTCCCTCTTCCTTCGGTTCTTTGTTATTCTGATGGCACTGCCGTTCACGAAAGCCACGCAAAGAATGCTTCTTTTTATGCCAACTCTTCAACTCTGTATTACCAAATAGATAGCCACATTCCAGGAACTCCAAATCAGATCTCTGAGAACTATTCTGAAAGAGACACTGTCAAAAACGGTACCCTCTCGCTGGTGCCTTACACCATGACCCCGGAGCAATTCGTTGACTATGCCCGACAAGCAGAAGAGGCCTATGGTGCCTCCCACTACCCAGCTGCCAACCCCTCTGTAATCGTTTGCTGCTCCTCTTCCGAAAATGATAGCGGTGTGCCCTGCAATAGTTTATATCCCGAACACAGGTCCAGTCACCCTCAAGTGGAATTTCACTCATACTTGAAAGGCCCCTCCCAGGAAGGGTTTGTCTCTACATTGAATGGTGACAGTCACATTTCAGAGCATCCTGCTGAAAATTCTTTGAGCCTTGCAGAAAAGAGCATATTGCATGAAGAGTGCATCAAATCACCCGTGGTTGAGACAGTCCCTGTTTAGTAGCTTAAATTATTCTAGGACCAACTCTTCTCCTATTTAAGGCACTGTATTTAATTGGATTTCCTGGGCTCATCATTGTTTAAACTGAAGACCAAGAAAACTTGGACGATGGTTAATCTTCCAGACTGTATTTTGTTTTTTCCTTTCTAGCCACATGACTGTGGCATTGCACAAATACAGTCTCTGTAGGGATTTTAAAAGATTTCAGACTGTTTTGATAGAAAATGCTAAATTTTAAAATGCATATCTCACAGTTGCCTACCTGTCAAACTGTGTGAAACCTGCCAATCTGTGTAGATCAGAGCTCCAAATTTTGGATTATCGGGCCTGTGCAAGATTGTTAACTAAGGCTGGGAAATAATAAGATTTAGAGTCCTAATTTTCGATATATCTGAAGATAATGGTGACTTTTTAATGTAAAAGTAATTATTGTAAGAAAAAGATTTAATTGTTCCATGTGTATTTTATTTATGGTAGTTTAGAAGTCATGTTTTGATGAAAATGAACAGCCGCATGTTCATTCAAGCTGAAGATGCATAGCTAGTTCCACAGAGCATGCCCACATGGATTGCATCTGGAATCCATTCACATTTTTATGATCATGACTGATCAGATTTGCAAATTCTTAAGGGTGAAATAGGCCTATTTTTGCTATTTTGGACAAATAAATGATTCTATATGTGCAGGTCCTTACACAGTTTTCTCTAAAGTTAAGAGTTAGGACAATCCTCTGGGGAGAGTCTAGTTCACTGTCCTCCCTCAGCTGACTCCAGAGATGGAGGTAGAAGGAATTGCCTTTCTTTTTTAAACAGCATCATCTTGGTTCTTAGCTTGGACAGCACCTTTAAGCTCTACCCCCTACATCAAAATGCACTTTAGTGCCCCTTCACGGTACCTCGTGTGGGGTGGGGACTGAGAACTCTTTGAGATGAAAAAAATTTTTTTTAAATTAAAAAGATCTTTAACTATTATAAGGTTCATATAATTAATATAGAGGAATCATCCAATGATACTTATGAAGGGAAAATGACCTATTTTCCTTCGCCACTCTGAGGACCTAACTCAGTAAATGCAGAGGAGGCTGAGGAAACATGGAAGAGACACGACCTCAGCAACGAGCCTTTTCTCCAGCGTGATCAATCCATCTCTACAAAATCAGTGTATAATGAGATTTCCACTTAGTGACTAGCTGATTGAAGGGGGGCCTCTACCCAAATACTCAACTAGGCCTTTCTTTTCTGAAGCATTTCTATTTGTCTTGCTTGGGACAACTAGCAGAACAGTCCAGAATGCATTGCATACTTTCTAATTACCTCACATTCTCTTATTAAAGAGAACAGATAGAAATAAAACATGCACTCCCCACCTTTAGATTATCTGCACTTGGTTCGTCGGAGGACTTCTAGGATCCCGTTTCCCTGTAAATTAATTTAGGTAACTAAATAGTGTAATTCTACCTTTTTTTTTTTCCAACGCAATATGACTATGCTAAACCTGTTTCACATTTTTGACCTTCTATTGTTATATCACTTCACATGTTTTATAACTATTTGAAATGTGGACATGCCTTGCTATTCAGTGACTGCATCGCTACTTATTTTTTATGTCTTTTAGACTTGGGTGTTTAGAATTATGGATATAAATATATTGTAGATCTCAATTTCTAAAAAAATATTTTATTTAATTGAACTTAAAAATGCTTGATCTAGAGAAAGTCCTCCAATGGAAAAAGTTTCTACTAAAATTTGTTTTGGGGAAAAAATGTTTACTTGGCAGCTTTTCCACTGTGCAGTTGGTTTCTGCCCCTTCTCTTGCCCCCTCCATTGGGCCAAATTTATAACCATTAATATTAACATTAAAAGAGCTTTGGGTTGGTCTTTATGTAGGTTGCAGTAATGAGAGCAGGGTTGTTCCTTTTGAATGATTGGCCCTTTGGGCTAATCAGAATGAGGACTTGTTGAAATCTCAAATATATATATATATATATATATGTATGTGTGTGTGTGTGTATATATATATATATATATATCCCATGTTGTCTACAAAGTGACAGTTTTTAGTGCTTAATCTCCAGAATTTTACCCCTACTGATACAATCGAAAGAGCACAGGCCCAAAGAGAAAATGACAAGAGGCTATTGTTCCTTCCTTCAAGCGCATGAAAGGATCATGTGTACTGTATTTGCTGGACCATTACAAGCTCTTGAAGGATCTGCTTGTGAAGTACTCTGAGGTTATTCTTGGAACACAGAGTGTGGGAGAGTGGGGAAGAGCCAGCTCCGGCCTGAGCAAAGCTGAAGGGTAGAATGACAGTCCAGTTTCTGAAAAGAGATATTTTAATTTTAGTTCAGCTTTATTTTCCTAAGACAATATGAAGCCTACTTTTTTATTGGTGGCTAGGTCTTTGTTTTCTAGCTTTGTTTCCAAAAGGATGCTTAAGAAAACAGAGGGCTTTTTCCCCTATCCATTCATCTGGGGTAGAAAGTCACTGCCCTGTGAGATGAATTAACCTTCTGATCATGACAGCTTCTATTCCAACTTTTCATATACCTGACTAACCTGTAAACATCTCCCACAAACCACATACACAGGCTACTTATTAAAACTCTCCCATATATCTAACACATACACATGCACACACATACAAAATATATGCATATCACACACTTAGAGAATGACAGATTTCAGGCAATGGCCAGTAGTAAGTATTGAGTTTTTCTGACCCCAGAATCTGGTTGGGCTTTATGATCTAAAAAAATGTGGTTTAAAAAAGAGGATAATTGGTAAAGTGATAGTTTGAAAATATCAGGTCAAAGTTGCAAACATACTTATGATGGAATCATTTCATTGTTAGTTCCTTTCCCAGAAAAGCTGAGAGAGCACACTGTTCCATCTGACTTTTTTTTTTTCCATTAATAGCCGTTCTGTTCAACAAAGAACTGCCCACATGCCAGGAAAGTGCTATAGTCCTTCTAAGCTTTTTAAAATGGGGATCAAGCTACATACAGCCAGTTGGAATACTTAAGATCTTTATGCCAAGACACAATAACCTGACCTGCAGCTGTTGTATTGCCCCCATAGTATATCTAGCCAAACTGTAGTCTTTTTTGACACACAACTTTTTAGTCATTCACTATCAATTGCAAAGCTTCATGCTCCGGTCCTGGCTGTTCTAGTACCAGTCCTATACCTTTAAATGAGACTTAATTCCCAGTTATAATCCTGGCCAAATTTATTTGAAAGTCAAGTGGCTGAAGCAGCTTGCATCTCTTTTGTCATTCCCAATTTCCTTTGGGAGAAAGAAGTCAATGAAAGAGATTTATTTAAGTTTTCCCCCTTATCTCTTGATCATTAATTATTAAGACATGGGTAAAATTCATTTGTCGCATGTCTTTTGGTTGATTGAATAATATAGTTACTTTTTGAAAGCCCATCATTTCTTTGTGATAAAACCATTTTCCCAATGTGACAGCCACATGTAAAATGTGAAACTCATGTTTCTTAGAAGGATTAAAATCTTCACAATTATATATGGTCCTGCAATACTCCCTGAATCCCTCCCCCACAAAAGAAACTATGGGTTGCAAAAATACTAGTTAACAAATTAATCAAGAAGCAAAGAGATAGTTAAGTGTTATGTTAATGTTAAAATTTTACACTCTAATAGATGACTTCTAGGCAAAATTTTGATATGATTACCATTAAACAGGAAAACATACTATGATTTACTTTCTATAACTTGCTAATCACTATTTCTTTTATTTCAATTTTTGATATTGTTGCACAAGTTTATAACTCTTTAGTCTTTATATTCAAAATTTATTAAGTATCAATTCTTTCTTTCAACAAATACATACAGAACACATGCTGAGTTAGAACAATTGTCTTGGGTAGTAAAAAGAGGGGAACACTACAAATTCTAATGGATAATGTTAATGAAGGGTGGCATGAAATAATCAAGCTTTCTCAAATCCTCTTAATAGGTGATTTTATCAAGTGATATTAGAAAAATTGACAACAGTTCTTGTCTAATTATATGTGAGCTGCAACCAAAAGAAACTTCCTTTTCCTAAATTAGTAGAACTCACTGGATCTTCCTTCATCTCTCTCCCTCCATCTGAAATGTATGAATTAAATCTGGACCCAGCTAGGACTGAATCAAATGAAAAGAAATTTGTGATTAATTGCTTCTTCAATGTTAGAACTATATAAGTGATGCTAAATTTACACCAGCAAACTCCTATCAGACAGTTTCAAGGAGGATTTGACTCATGCATAATCCAGGAAACATTTCAGGAAACTTTTAAGACAACAGTGTGGAACACAATCACTCTTACTTCTATTTATAAAAAAATCCTATCAAAATAGCAAAATCCTGTTCCAAATTCCAAAGACATCAATTTGCAGCAGGTGGAAAACAGAGACGTCATTAGACTCTGTCACTTTCAGCTGGAGTTACAAACCATCAAATTAGCAGGTGGAAAATTTGTATTCTCAGAAACCAAAAGGAGACTGCCTTTTTAAAAGGTGTCATGAAACCTTCTATTTCTCCAAATATAACTCAATATTTCTCTTTAAAATGGCATCTCTGCTCCTCATTCTCTTGAAGACAATTTGCAGTGCCATTGTAGCCGGTGTATTAAATACCAAGCTTAAATGGGAAGCACCTTTGGGCTTTCGAAGGCAAGACTTGTCTGTAATTTTAAATTGGAACTGTTGGTTGTATTCTTATCACAACCAAAACCCAGCGTTTAAAGGCTTGATTACTCTTAGGTCTAATATGAATTTTCAGCTTCTGATTGCATTACTTTTTCTGAAATCTGCTAACTAGTGCTGGAATAACAAAAATGCCTAAGCCAAAGTGCTATAACTTTGCACCATATATAATTGTGCAGAAAATAGATGTTTTCTACAGCAGTAAAGAATTTGATTGATTTAATTGAATATCAGCAATTTAAATACCCACTAGAATTACGGAAGTATTAGAGCGGAAGTGAGGGTGCAATGAAAGTTAATAAGTGGTGGTGTCTTCTAGGAATTATTTTTTAAAAAATGCTCAGCAGAGCTAAGCTAGATCTTATTACACCATACAGACTAGAGTTACAAACGACAGCCCCAAACCTAGAAGGGGCAGCTACAATGTGGACACCCTTTCAGCCCAGTTGGTGCTCACTTCTGCTGACCAACATTCATATCAATTACATTTTTACTGTCTATAAGTCATTTGATGCTTTAGAAAATGAAAACACACACCTACAGCATTCGAAAGAAACTGTTTTGTTAAAAAATATAAACACATTTTATATTAAAATAACTGATCAATGACTTTCATGATTGTCAAAAGTAAAAAGTGCAGACATTTAAAAAAGCTCTTCTTTAACATTTTACCTACCAAATCTAGATATTCTATGTGAGTCCTTGAAACAGTCACTTCTAAATTTTATTTGACTCCTTTCTTGGCTTTTTCAAACTGGACCGTGAGACCCCCTTCCTAAACAATGCAGGTGTTTTGTTTTATTCTTTTTTTCCAGAAATTCAAGCTGAAACATTTGATGTGACCTGTGTTTTACCTGATGATCAGTTCTCAGACTGGTCTAAGTCTGTGTTGCCTTGGGTTTCCTATCCTGAGGGTGGTAATGCCAATAGAATGATGGGAACCAGGAGAGTGAATATGATCCGATTCAAAGCCTAAACCAATATGTTTCAGTTCACTTTTATATGTGGATTTTTAAAATATTCACATCTAGCCTGGAATTTTAGTAAATACAGATACTTGTTGTATCCATGGGAAATGAAGTCATTTCAAAGATATAAGTCACGTTGGTGACTACTTTCTTTTACTTGTGATAAGTATATCACTATACAGGGTAATTGCTTTTATAAATTTGATCCTTTGCATTGGCTTATAATTCAAGAACTGTCAACTTCACTGTGTCATCTTATGTCATCTCTCATAAAAGTTTCTGGCAGGACTAAAATTTCAAAGGAATGTGATAGAATTTATTTTGGACAACATTTGTATTCAGCATGCTAATGATGTAATTCCTCTATTTATCATTGCCACGGTGATAGTTAAGTTCATTCATTAACTCATTTTAGTGACATGTGAGGCCATTTAAATATTTTTAAGATAACGTATATTGATTAGAGTTAGAAGGAGACAAATTTATGGTAGAAATTAGCCTTGCAATTGCCTAAGTTAATTTATGTGACCTGATTGAACAGTTTTAGTTGTAACTTTAGAATAGCTTCTTTGTTGGAGTATCTCTTTCTTTTCTCTTTTGATTTTCTCCCAATATTTTTATCTGTCTTGGGATTATCTTAAAAGGTATTTATTAATGAGTATTTTGAAGAAAAATGACTTAGAAGATGTTTCTTTTAAATTTATCTAGGTACTTGTATTACCAGAGACACACTGGATAAGGCTACTACCCTCTGCCCTTCTTGTCAGGGGCATGGCTTCCTAATAATGGTTTTGCTGTTGTCTCTACATAGGGGACCTATGGAAAAGGAGTTTGAAATTTCTACCTTTGTAGTACATCGTATCCAATTTTGTTTTGCTCCTCCTTTTCATGTGGTCACCAAGCTTTTTTCCTTAGCCATTAAAAAAGCCACCCCTCTTTAAAACAAATTTAAAGATCTATATACATTATTGCAACTTTATTTAATAAAAAAGAGAAGAGAAAGCTAAAATCCAAATCTCAATTACCCTAAAATGGAAAAACCTAAATATCTAACCTAGGAACTTGTTGCCTGGTGGTGGTAGTTATTTTGTTTTGTTTTTAATTTATTTAGTGTTGGTCCTTGAGTTGTTTAATGGTATCCAAATGATATCTGAAGGTGACTGATTTTTAAGATGTAATAGTTGGCAAAGTCATTTCATTTGTATCTCAAACAAATAGAGCACACTGCCATGGGTTACCATCTGAACCCTGATTCATTTGGCACTAGTCATGCCAACTGGGGATCTCAGAATTGTTTAATCTTTTCAAAGATACTCACAATGGCCAACTGTGTGTGAATAATGGAAAGTTTGAGATTCTTCTGTATTCTTCAAATTTTATGGTCCTGAAACTAGGGGGGATCTCCAGAGGTCATATGGCTCATCGATCTACCGCCAGGGAGGACTGTCACTCAGGCATGCCCAACAGGAGAGATCGCCATCTATTCTTAACATCTCTAGGGAAGGCAGTTTCCTTGGCAACACAATTCAGCTCTCTTAGGTTTTCTCACAATAAGAAAATATCTTGGCCAGTCTTTGAGGGTTAGGCACCTGGCAACAGTTGTGGTGATTTGGGCCATTGTACTAGGGGATTCAAGGGAAGCTGGGTTTCCCCCTACATTTGGTGATTATTACATTACTACTACGTGATAGTTCCATAAGTCTCCTAAGAAATCAGATTTTTAAAGAAAGACACGGATTCAGAGACAATGGTCAGTAACATGACCAGCTTTTGACAAATATGGCTGTATTAGGTTTTCATAAAGTTGTTGTTTGTTTTTGTGATTGCTCTTATGTCAGTAGGTAATGTCAGGAAAAGTGACTGTTTCAGATCCCCAGTGACAAACATCAGAACTAGGATCAAATGACTTGACTTTTAAACTGTTCCATTTTCTCAGAAGTTACAATTACAAAAGTAAGCATTTTCTACATTCTTACTTCTAAGTAATGACCTTCTCATTAATCTTTCCTTGGCTTAAAATGGCAAATAAGAATCCAAAGTTTTTCCACTCCTCCTGGGGGAGATAGGAGTAGTTGTGAAGAGTCTGATGGAATAAAATGACTGTAGAGATTTACACAGCCACCATTTGATCCCAGCCTTTGTCCCTGTGTTATTTAAACAATGGCTTCTTGCTTTCTCAGGGGTCAGGAAAATGATTTAAAAATTTGTCTTCTTGACAAGGCCTGAAAACGAAGGAGGAGTCCTGGAGAATGGTGATTTTTCTGGTTACATCACTTGATTCAAGCACTCCCTGGAGCTTTCAGAGCCTTTTTTGTCTGCTCAGAGTTGACACCCAACTCAGAGTCAGAACTCACCGGAAGATGAGGAGCACCCCTGAAATCAATGTTTCGTTTCTCCATGGGATTTTTTTCAATCTTGGTACAGCTGCATATCTCCCCAACTCGGACGCTCTTGTGAAATGACAGCCACATCAGTGTGGTTACTCCCCACAAATAACACTGGGGGAAATGACCCTTTTTATTTAAAAAAAAAAAAAAAAAAAAGGCTAATGCTATAGAATGATCATGTAAAGAATGGTGAATAAAATTTGGCCCATGTTTTAATTGACTCTAGGCACCTCTATGGAAATAAGTCTGAGGCATAGTTTGTGAAACATGTTTCAAAAGTGTTTGATGTATAATAAATGCTAGAAATTTACAGTACAGAAATAGTAAAAAAATAAAAATAAAAATAAACCTGTAGATTACAGCTCTGTTCCTAAGAACCTCAGCCTTTATTGTGTCTTAGTAAAGTTGATCTGCTTTATTTTTAGTTTATTGAATTTCTGGTGTAATAGCCTCTTAAGATAGAACTATTACTACATATGTACTGGTTAATGCCTGTTTATGCAGAAAATGGCACTTTGTTCTTTCAGTGTGTTTCCCTCAGTGTCACAGGGTATATCAATTTGATAGATCATTTGACATTTGTCAAAAATACATGTTTCCCATTTTAAAAATATGTATAATTGGTTGCATAGACATATGTCACTTTTTGCAGCGTCTTCATCTTGATCATAGTTTTAGACATCAACTATGTCTCACTTTCCAACTGCCATAGAAATTTGGTACATTTGCAAATTCTGGTGGAATCTAGTGAGCTGAATGTATTGGTAGATCAAATGATCCAAAGGACTTGGGTATTATCCTTCAGTCTGTGTTGAACCATTCAGATACTGGGAATGGTCCTTACACAAGGGAAGTCTTTTGAGAATATTTGTTTCCTTACTTTTTGTTTGTTGCTGGCAAAAAAAAAAAAAAGTAACTTTAAAAACTCAGAAAAGCCACTGAACTGTATTTTGTGATGTTATGGTTAGTTTTATCTTTCAGCTGATTTTTATTGTTACTTTCATTCAATATCAACAGTACTTCAATAGATATTTATTAGTTATGTTCAATCTAATGACTTAAAACGGTTGAAAGGGAGGAAAATCAACTCCAGTCCACACATACAGTCATGTTACACTAAGATGTCATGTTGTATGTCGCACAGTTTCTAGATTGATTTCTCTTGTGTGTAAGTTATAACATCAAAAATGCCAAAGGGTATATAAAATAAGCTACAATAATATTCAACAGAACTTAACCTGGACCTTATGTTGTAATAATTTATTCATATTAGCTGTAGTCTTCTGTATTTATATTTTCAGTATTTATTATGAATGACATGGAAATTCGTGTATTTATTGTGGCTTTTTATTGCAGTGTGTATATATATATAACAAATAAGCATTTTTAAGTCTTATCCTTAAGTTTCTTTGATTAGTGGCACTTGTATTATGCTGTACTTTTTATTACATATTGTACAATATCTTGTCCATCTGTTTGCAGCAGAGTAAAACCGGTTTCTAAGTTGTATCTACTGTTGCATTTCTGTTGTGTGTTGTGTAAAACCTTTGTTCTTACATCCTGAGCTGCAATCCCTTAACGCTGTCCCAGCACACACAAGGATACCTCCCTTCCACTGTGTAACAGATACTATTCTTGAAAAGTTGTGTGTGAAGCCAGTTCCTGTGAAATGGTTCATTACATTGTCATTTCAAAGATGTGTTAACTTTATTAGGATTCATCCCTAAGTGAAGATGCTTATAACACTTTACTTTCTCAGCTATTCAACCCCTTCATCAAGTGATGATGCGTAAACAAACACAAGGGCCGGAGGAGAACTCTCTATGTAAATGAAATTTGGAGGATATTTTTACAAGGACAAATTCAATCTCTTGTAAGTAGTATCCTTAACTTAACTGCTTCGTAGTATTTTTGTTTTGCTTTGCTTAAAGCAGAATCTGTGTGATTTGATGTTTAGAATATATGCGTACGCATGGGTACGTATATATGCCCATCTGTTTAAAGCTGCTGGCTTAAAGTAACTAAAACTTAACTTTTATTGGCAGTAGGATGAAGGAAAAAAATTGAATTTTTTAAAATCTCCTATCATATGCAACACACTTTCTTCCAACAACTTGTTTTATATTTAGAAACTGGATCTATATTTTTAAAAGCAAATAATAATATGATTGTGCAATCATCCTAAAACTCAAATTTGAACATGTTATTCACTGAATTAAAAATCTTGTGTGGTGTTTTCTCCTCACTGCCAATAAAACAAAATTCAAACTCCTTGGAATGCCTCACAAGGTCGTCTGAGATCTGGGTACAAGCTCTCCCTTTACTTCCCATGTCCTCCACTGCCCACAAGAGCGGTTCCTTAGATTTCACCTGCTACTCCATTTTTCCCTGCTTCTGTTCAGCTTGTCTCTTCTGCCAAGAATATACACCCCATAAACCTATCCTGACAGCACAATTCTAATGACCATCTATTTATTTTTCAAGAGAAAACTCAAAATATTCCTTCCTTTATGTTGCCCTTCCAGTATTCCTGAAAATCGATTGCCTGTTGTTTTATACAAAGCAGACATGTGTTAGAGCCCCTTCGAGTCTCACTGCACTTGCTTATTTATGCACCTACTCCCCCTCAGTACTTTCTGAGAACAGAAAACTCTTCTCATTACTCTCTGTCTTCTCAGCATTCAGCTTAGTGTTTAAAACACGGTAGATGCTTAAAAATACATTTACTGATGTATGCAAAGTACAAAAATGAGTGATGCAAAGTCCACTCCTGTACAGGAGTTCAGATGAGGGAAAGATGGCTGGCTGAAACCGTGGAAAAGGTGTCAGATTCAGAGAGAGAGGGAGAATTTCAACTAGCAGGGGCACCCCCATGGTCCACATTATGGAGCAATTTGAGGAAAGGCTGATCAGAACAAAATCACTCTTCTGGTCGGGGGCAGAAGGACCTGGTTAAGAACAGATCATTTACTCTCAGGAACAAATGACAAATCAGGTGAGGAGAGTGAATTTAGAGAGTGCAAAGCTTTAAAGACCAACCCAAGGAATCTGGCTTATATCCTTAGGGAAATCAGGATATTTCCTTCAGGAAATCCTGAAGATTTTAGAAAAGGAAAATCAATCAAATAAGAGTGATTTGCAGTGTGGAATATCAGTGTGGCTACAGTGCACAGACAGTTTGGGAGGATGGAAATGCCGGAGTAAAAATCTTTCCAGTCGCTATTGCAGTCACTGTTCATTAGAAAAAATTAAGAGTTGAGAACCTACTCTGATTTAGGATCCTGTGCAAGAATGTGCTACACTCAGAGGAGGCACTGGGGCAAAAGACAGGCAGAGTCCCTCTAGACAAGCAAGTAGAAAGATGTGGGTAATTACAGCAGAGAAAAAGCTATTTGAAAGCCTATTATGATGTGAGAGATTAAAGGTAACAAAATAATTATGAGCCAAAATACCATAGGTGGAATATGGAGAAGGACATAAGAAGATAGACATCATCAGCATAAATTAGAATGTTATAAGGAGGAAGAGATGTGTTCATTTTGAACAGCTTAAATTGATGCTGGGATACTCAGTGAAAATAACAAATGGACAGAAGGAAATGTAAGTCTAGAGCTTAGACAAAGATATGAGATTTGGAGCGAATGAGAATTTTACAGGGAGAATATATATATAGAAGGAACTAAATAACAGAGAGGACCGAAGCTTTAGAAAGGCTAGTGTTTCAGGCTATGTTTGCCATAAGCACACGACTCTGAGATGGAGTTTAGCATGCAGGATTTCCATGAGGAATCAATTCTTGTGGGAGCCAGTGGGAGGAAGCAGATTAGGAAAAGACAGAAATCAGGCTGTGATGCAGACCGACCCCACTGGAGTGCTCTAGAGGATAAGGGATCCTCTGAGTCATCCCCTCGCGGGCTGAAATGGCTGGGCCTATATAGCCACTCCACAGTCAGTCTCTGGATGTCTTCCGCCCCAGAAAGGGAGTGCTCTGAGATGAGCTGGCACTCTGCAGTGAGGAGAAAGCCTGAAAAGAGCTGAAAGTTGGAGGATGTTTTTCTGACAGCACTCTTAGGACCTGGGACAAGTCCTTCCTTGAAAGGGAATTTTTGAAGGTAGAACAGCTCTGTGTCTTCCATGTCCATCCGTCAGGTCCTCATATTCATGTCATCACTTAAATTTCAGGGAACAACTCCTTCAGGATTCTGGTGGGCCTCTCTCCCTGGGGAAAACTTAAAGGACCAAGGTTAGTAAAATAAATTACAGTTCCTGCCACTCTGGCTGGTCCTAAAGCCATAGCTAAAACTGACCATCTCCCTCTCTCACTATTAATTCTACATTCCTCTCGGCTTCAGCAAACACAGTTGCTAGCCTCAATGGCTTACTTGGTGGTGTGACCCAAAGCCAAAAGGCACCTAAGTGAATATTACTTCCTGCACCTATTATGTAGCAGTAGGCCCATCTCTTCCTGAGGATCAAGGTCAAATACCTCTACCAAGATGGTGAGGTATTTTTTCTCCTTGCCTAAAAATCCTAGGATGTAGCAATAGCTTAAGTCCAATGGGACTCTTTAGTCCCCTGATAAAAGTGTGACCTCTTTGGGGACTAGGACCTCTAAGACTGCAAAGACATTTAACCCTACAAAGTTGTGGAATAGGAACCACAGTTTTCTCCTGTGGGTCATGTTAACTGGAGCCATTCCTGCTTCCACCCAATGGAGTTTGGACCCATGTGTTATTCCTATGGGGGACATATTATAATGTAAAGGTTTTTGATTCAATGTCTATACTGGATCCTGGAGGATAGTAACCTATTCTTGCAGAACATCATCTCCAAACTTGGACTTCAACTGCACCTTCTACAGGCCAGTCAATGCTCTGTCAGGCCAGGAGCTTTGAAGTCTGTGATATGATCAGTGGGTCTCATGGTCATGTGCCCAATGCCACACCTCCTTTACTGTAAATTAGTTCACCTGCTCTGATATGATGTTATGTGGGATCCTAAGTGAGTAGGTCAAATATACTGTAAGTCCTTGAATAATGGTGTTAGCCAAGGCCCTACAGGTAAGAAAGGCAAACTTATACTTGGAATATATGTCTATTTTTATTTAAAACAAACAACAAATAAAAACACAAAAAAATCTCTGGCCCTTTTAAGATGGAAGGGGCCCAATGTTATCAATCTGCCAACAAGTGTCTGCTTAGGCTCCAGAAGAGTAGTGGCATATGGAGGGCCCAGCATCCGTCTCTGTTGCTGGCAAACTGTGCATCTGGCAGCAGCGGGAACTTTATCAGTCTTGGTAAGTGGCAGGCCATGCTCATGGACCCAAGGAGAGCCTTCGTGCCACCCAATCCATGTACCTATCACAGCAACCCTGGAGTAGCCAATAACTGAGGCTGGCTGCTTGCTGCCAAACAGCCAAGTTATTCTGTCTGTATTAATACTATCAAAAACAAATATAATGTGAGCTGCATATGCAATTTTAAGTGTTCTTATAGTCACCTTAAAAAGAGTTAACAAAAAGATAAAATTAATTTAATAATATATTTCACTTAACCCAATATACCAAAGATTTCAACATGTAATCAATATAAAAATTATTGGTGACATTTTACATCCTTTTTGGAAGACTAAGTCTTTGAAATCCAGTGTATTTTGCAATTACAGCACATTTCAGTTTGGAGTAGCCATGTGTGGCTAGTGCATACAATATTGGACAACACAGGTGCACACTGTTGTTTAGTGTGTCTTCTGTGGTGGTTGCTCTCTAGTTGATAGGTGTTAACATGTAACACAAAGATCTTCACACTTTGTGTCCTCTCTCACAAGTCATTCACATGCTTATACTCCAAGCCTCCTATTCCCCAATCTTCTAATATCTCTGCTTTCAGCATCCTGAGCCAGGCTATTCACTTCTACCCATCAGTCCATATATATTCTAACAGAGCTCCTATTTATTCTTCCACACAAAGAGAATCACAAAGTGGACCTTAAAGCTCTGCCTATTTTAAGGATTTTTCTCTAGCCCCGTGAGCTACTCCTGAGCAAGATTGCAGTGTAGCTGCCATGGATTTTTGGCTTGTTTGGCATCCACCTACTAAACCAGCCCATCTATAAACCAAATCTGAAGGCTTTTTCCTCCTCCAGAAGTGAGCCATGTGGCATCCTCCATATGGAGTGAGGGATGTGCTGAGGAAGAGGTTCAGGGAAAATGATGGCAAATGACATGGAAGATGGGACTATCTTGTCATGCAGCTTTTTTGTGTCTTCCAGTCCTATTTATGCTTGATCCAAGTTTTCTACTTCTAGAATCCACCTCTTAAAATAAAGTGCTGCTAGCCCTGCCTTAAGATACGTGGTTCTACAGGTTCAGTGCCTTGGTGTCCCATAGCAGGCACGTAATCTCTTATGAGGCTTCAGTAATATATCAGGAGTTGTTTCTCAAAAGGCATACACATTACTGCTACAAATGGCAAAGCTTTAATCCCATAGCCTACGTTGGGATTCTACCACTGGCACTTAACCTCCACACAGCATCTTTTCCCACCACTGCTACCACTAATATCGTGGTGTCTGCTGGCTCACATGACCCAACAACAGGACTTGGTGGACTGCAACCAATACCTCCTACTGAGATTTTCCCTGCTCTACGTCTCACTCAAAGCTGGCAGCCTTTTACATTGCCCAACATACGGGTCAGAGCAGTATTCCTGAATGAGAAATACGTTGTCACATCTAGAACCTAAAGAAGCATATCAAGTGTTGTGCTTCTCTTTTCACGGTGGGAGTTGCAGCATGTAATAATGTATCTTTACTATGGAAGAGACATCCTGAACTCCCCACACCACAGAATGCCTAAAGACTATATTAGTGTGGCAGGCTCCTAACTCTTCAAAGGGTTTATCTCCCATCCTCCACTGTGTGTGTGTTTCACCAATGCCACCAGCATGTTGACAAGTTATTGCTCATCTGGCCTAATTAGCATAATACCATAAAGGAGTGGTATTCTGTTGGAAATCTAGAGAGTTGAGATCACTTTGTACTATATTATGACAGAATACAAAAGTAAATATATATTGTTGCCCATTCTATGCACATGCAAACACTTTCTGATCCTCTTTTTCTAATTGGAATAGAAAGAAACACATTTGCCATTTACATAACCTCATCCATGTGACTGAGGTTGGTTAACCCACTCTAGCAAAGATACTACATCTGGCACAGCAACTGCAATTGAGGTGACCACTTGATTGAATTTGCAATAATCTACTCTCATTTCCCAGGATCCATCTGTGTTCTACAAGAGCAAGTCACTGCATTAAGATAACTTAAGTAGGGATATGATAGCAACCACTACCCCTATATCTTTTAGGTTCCTAAAGGTACTAATAATTTCCGCTATTCCCCCTGTATTTTATGTACTACCTTGATTTGGGTGGGGGATACAAACAGTTTCAGAAACACCTACTTGGCTCTCCCCACTTCTATAGGTTCTGTCCGACTCACTAAAGGTTCAATGTTGGGATTGCATATATTCCAAACATAAGAACTTCAATTACATACTTGCAGCCAGGGAAAATGACCACTGCGTGGGTCCTCAGACCTAGTGGACTTACTGCAAGCCAGATCTCTGCCAGGAGTCTGTTCATTACCTGGTTTCTACACGCTCCCACTTTAGAACAGGAGGGCCCCATGCATGGTAAGGCTTCAGTTCTCCGGGTATCAGTGTTCACTCAGACCCAGTGTCAAACAGTCCCAAAATGTTTTGAGTGTTCCCCTTTCCCTTGTACGTAGTCACCCAAGTAAACAGTTGTAGGTACTTTTAAAGATGGACTGGGGGAATCATTATCATATATACTTGCATAGTGTCGCTGGGTCTTTCTTCCTAGGGACCTGGCCATTTGTTCAGTCAGTGGGTCCTGGGTCTGAAAATGAACTCATATCTGGAAAGTGAGCAAAGGACTATGACATCTTATTGGCATGACTATCTTATTGGGGTGCGTTCCTTCACTAACTGGGGCTTCTAATTATTTACCTTAATTTCTTGTGATGGTATAAACCAAAGTCTCCTTGTTGGCTGCCCATCTATTTTACCCCCGGGGTTATGAGTTTCTATTAACCATCTCTACGACTCTCTGTGGGTCAGGCCCTACTGGCTGCCACTCTGGCTCTGCTGCTCATTATGATAATTGCATCCACCTGCTTTTCAGCAATTATGTGGCACCTCCTATCCTCTGTTGTTTCAGGGTCTTTTCATTTCCATTGGATTGTTTGTACCTCAGTACCATCAGTGATGGGGTCCACATTACTAGCCAAGTGACAAATGATAAAGCTTCAAAATTTATCTTATCAACTTCATTTTTGGACCAATCTGATACCAAATGTCAGATTGGGTTTTTAAAGACTCTGAAATGGAGTTGGACTTGCAAGGTATTTATTAAGTTTCAAAAGCTGTGGAAGCCAGGAGGAGGAAGCAATTGAACAGAGAGACAAGTTGAATTATGAAGCAGGCCTGACAGAGCCTCAGCCCAACCCTCAGAGAACTCCAGAGCCGTATGACTCTTTGGTGTTGTCCCCTAGTGAGCCAAACTTTTCAGATCTTTATATGTCCTCCATGATCAGTCATTGGATGTGGATAGCTAAGGAAGGTTGTGCTTTTGAACAAGGCATCACTCTGTAACTGAGGTCATCTCTGAAAAAGAAGTAACAAGTCAGCCCTGAAAGAAACCTGAGTTGTGCATCTCCATATCCATCACAGCCAGATCTGGGATTCAAAGGAAGGAAATAAAGACATGATTTTGTATCCAAGAGAATTCAGAGTAGGAGTTAAGAGAGAAATGGAAAGTCTGGAGCTCAGGTTTTAAAAAGGAACACGTATATTTACCAGGACAGGAATTGTCCTTCCTGAAAATCAGATCACACATGGAATACCAAGTTCAATTATGGCTACTGCCATTTAAAAGGAATATCCACTTACTGAAATGTGTTCAGGGGAGAATGCTCAGAACAGTAAAGGAGCTCAAAAACACGACAAAGGGCTAGTTGAAAGAATGAATGTTTACACCAAATACAAGTTTTCTTTAGACAGCTAAAGGGGCTTGAAATTATTCCCTATGGAATCAAGAGATAAAAGTCTAGGAAAACAGAAGTGAGAAGTCTAGGAAGACAGAATATAGGGAGGATAATTTTAATAATTAAAACCAAATGAAAAAGTACTATAGATATAAATTAGCCAGACGAAGGGGAAAAGAGGCATTTTGGATCAAAGCAGGCATCACAGGCAACCGTGGAAAATTCAGATTGGCCAAATATAAGACCACTAGAAAGTGACTGGAAGGGAAAAGGACTATGAAGTCAATGTCAGATCATCAAGGTCCTTGTATCTCATACTTAGGACTTTGGCTATTATGCAGTGAAGTAGTGCTGGCTTGGCACTTCAAAAGGTGAATCTGACAGCTAAGAAGATAATGGATTAGGGGAGAGGTATGAGATAGAAAGCAGGTAAGCCAATTAAGAGTAACTGCGATCTCATGCCTGTAATCCCAGCACTTTGGGAAGCCGAGGTGGGTGGATCACAAGGTCAGGAGATCGAGACCATCCTGGCTAACACGTTGAAACCCTGTCTCTACTAAAAATACAAAAAAATTAGCCGGGAGTGGTGGCGGGCATCTGTAGTCCCAGCTACTCGGGAGGCTGAGGCAGGAGAATGGTGTGAACCTGAGAGGCGGAGCTTACAGTGAGCCGAGATCGCAACACTGCACTCCAGCCTGGGAGACAGCAAGACTGTCGCAAAAAAAAAAAAAAAAAAGAGTAACTGTGATCAATAGAATTCATGTCTGTCTTTCTGCTCATTGTATTTGCAGTACCTGGCATTATACCTTCACATAAAAGACCCTCAATAAATATCAAATTGATGAATGTTCAAGGAAAGTACCAATGGTTGAACTAAGACAACGGCCATGGGAATACAGAGGGATTGACATTCAAAAGATCTGTAGAAGGTGGAATAGAAATTAAAGGAGAGGAAGAAGTCAAGGATAATAGATTTGTTGATTTGTTCCTAGTGGCATACCTGCTCTGGACCTGAAATACTGAAGGAAAAGTGGTTGGTGGGCAGGTGCCGGGGAGGAAAAAAGATTGCTAAAGGTCCCATTCATCATCTATGATTAGGCTCTATCTGTTGTTGAAATTTCTCAACAAAGTCTCTACTAATGTGCTTTCTCATTGATGTTTTCTATGCACAAGTTCCCCGTGATTACCAGCACCCTGTCAGTATAGAACAGCCTGTTTCTTTGCTTTTCTCTCGTAAAGCAAAGCAGCAAGCCAATTACTGAGATCATTCAGATGAAAATTTTACTTTTGCCTGAATTAGCCAGAGAATTGAAGCATAAATGGACCTTTTCACTTGACTGATTGAGATAATTGCCTCACTTTTCTAGGGGAGACCTATAGCTGGGAGGCTGTATTTGGTCACCAAAACATGTTTGTAATATACATTATTGACTTTTCTTGAAACAACTCTGGTTGGCTAGGTGCCACACTCAAACACTTGCCCTCATCTTTTTAGGTATTTAAAACAATACAGAGAAATACCATGCCTGGGAAACTCAGTGTTGAATTATTTCATTCTTGAGCAGCCCTTAAATACATCAGCTCAGGCCTCCAGTAGAGGTAAAATGGCATCTAGGGGAGTCTGGGAGAAGGCGGCAGGGCAGGAGCGTGGTTCAGTGGATAAAATGCAAGAAGTGAGAATTAGCTCCAGGTGCATGGGAACAAATGGCTTTTCCTGAAAGAATTGGGTAGGTAGACTTGAAAGAAACATGTAATTTACATTTATTATTGGGAGGGGTGAGAGGGGTTAATAAAGAGAGCTGAGTAGGGGCAGACAATTAAAGCAGCAGCAGGGCTCAGATCAGAGCCTTTTGGCCTGGATCTTGGGTAATAGAAGCTTTTTCTAACAGCATGAGACATGGGAAAAGAAGGCTTCTAAAGAAACAGCACAGCATCTGAGCTTTTCTGAAGCTTTTGCTATCTGGTGGCCTGCTATGACAGCCTGGGCGTGTACAGACAATGCGTGTTCAGTACTGACCTACAAAATTCACTGCAAAGCAAGATGTGTATTAGAAAAAACCCATACAAACTTCAAGTCTATGAGGAAAGGTTGTCATGTAAATGTGTCTGTAATTACTTTGTGATGGCTCCCCTTACTGGCCAAGAGGCAGAATGTCCTAGATCCTGAAGAGAAGTAGGAGGAGGTAACGCTGAGGCAGCCTGGTTAATTTCTAAATTTCCTGTATTAAAATATATATGTATGTGTGTGTGTGTGTGTGTGTGTGTGTGTTGCTAAAATAAATGTTTTATTTTCTGAGTATCAAATGAAAAAACAGAAATCCCAGCCATGGCATTTATAAAATCCACCAGGATTATTTTTTAATTTTTTAAATTTATTTATCTTCAGTGGTGTTTAGAGTCTGCATAAAGTTTTGTGATTATAAAAAATATGACTGCTTTAAATGTTTCAATTTTTAAACTTTTATATTACATATAATTTCAAAAGCAATTTGAGGTGATGGATGAGACATACTCACACATCAGAATTGATATATCCAAACAATCTACATTTTGGGGAGAGATTATACGCTAACAATAAGGAGGATGTCATTATTTAAAGCAATCTTGATTTTTTTTTTGCATAGTTTCATTGTTTGGAATATTGCTTTAACTGTGGCAAATAGACATACATTAAAAGTATATTCAACATCTTGTAATATCCATAGGTCATTCAGAATCAACTACGTTGAACTAGTTGAACTAGTAAAGTTAAAATGTTGTATCCAAAATAATAAAAATGATGCACATATCTTCCAAACTTTTCCCCAGGATTCCCAAAGAATAATCTTAAAAATGTCAAAAAATATACTAAGTATATATTACCCCCCTTTCCCACAGGCTATGTATGTTGCTATTTATTTAAATATAAGTAATGGAATATTGTATTTTAAAGATGTTTTGTTTGTTAATATCTCTTTATAGGTGTCATAAATATTTTTATGTATACGAAAATTGGTCTAAGAAGACCAACTGAATTGCTAGTATCAGACTAATTTTTTTGCTTTAATATAAACCAAGACTGACATATCTTGTTTACAAACAAATAATATTGGCATGAAAAAAGTCACACCATTACACAGATTTTTTATTTAAGCTGATCCTGCAATAGATAGGATACTGTTGAAACTAGCAGTTTACATTAAAATAATTAATTTTCTTCAGATTTTTTAATTCTTTCTGTACTTTTTTTGATATATGCACTGTGTTAGAAGATTCTAAATTTGTTGCTGTAGTAACAAACACCCCCCCCCAACCTCAATGGCTTAAAACATGGTTTCACTCCAGGTCCATCTTCAGTGGGTGAGGTACTCCATCATCCTTGTTCAGGCGCTAAGACTGATGGAGCCTCCACCCGTCTGCAGCATTGCAGGCAGGGGGAGGAATTTGGCTTCTCATGTGCTGCTTCTTAAAGGTTTCTAACTGGAAATAACACATGTCACTTCCACTCATACTGCACTGGCCAAAATAAGTTACATGGACAGAAATAGAACTGCGTTTTACTTCCTGTTGTCTTAATTGACCCCAACAAAGATGCTTTAATCTTTCACAGAAAAAAAAGAAGTTTGGGTCACGTTGTCCTACAGTACGTTTGGAAGAAGAACAGAAACATTGCTGAACAGCACCAATAACTCCCACATTCACCCTAATTGAGGAACTTCATCTTAATGCAGGCAAAGAGGACAGTGCTTTCATAGCTGAGAATCCAAAATAGTGACAGGATGTAGCAAAATTTATATTTTGATTTCTTTTTTAACAGAAAGAGGCCTAACATTATATTTGCTGGTTAGGTTTAATGTCTGAACTTCTTTTCAAGTCTTACTTTTTATTAAAATAAATTGTGCTTAAATTGAGCTCTCTGAGGATTCCACAGGGATTGATCGATTTGCCTGGTTAGGGCTTCTCAGGATGGATGTCAGGAGTGGGGCAACGGCATGAGAGCAGCTGTTTTCAGGGCTCCAGCCTCAATCTTAAGCGTTGCCATGGTGACAGCTGCCCACAGGAACCCACTGGGAGCCCAGTAGGAGCACTGGCTGCCAGAGCTTTGTATCAGTGTGCCATCCCCAGCCTTTCAGAAACAAGCATAATGAACTCTTTAGCCAGGGTGTTTCTGCCTACTAACCTAAAGGACAGTTTGTTCTTGCTTGAATTGTCAACTGCCAGCTGTCAGTTTAGGCAAATCAAGTATATTCTCTCTTTCCTCTTGTACCCTTGCTCTCAGCTTATTTTCATATCAAATTCCACTTTTCTCTATTTTATAGCTACACAATTAATAGCTATTAATAGAGAAAATTCAATTCATAAATTTAGATACAATAAAAAATCCAAAGATATAAAGTCCTCTAACATAGCACCGCCTAACAGAATTTTCTGTGATGATGTAAATGTTTCATATCTATGCTGTTCAATGCAGTAGCCACTGGTCACCAGCGGCAACTCAGCATTTGAAATGTGGCCAGTGCAACTGAGTAACCAAATTATTTAACTGATTTAATTTGAGTTCATTTTAATTTTAAATAGCTACACATGGCTAGGACTAATGTATTGAGTAGCAAGGTTCTAGAATCATAGTCAAATCCAGGGAGTGGCACCAGCTAGAGCTGGCCAGGCAGGAGCCACAGTTAGCAGCATTCTCTCACAAAGTAGCATGTTTATTATCTGCTTTAGAGTATATTATTATTATTATTATTGCTGTATAAGGTGTGCCTTGGCCTGCCCTAACTGGCTGTTGTAAATTTAATTATGCAGCTAAAGAGGAGGAAACGGAGGCATGATTATCTGGGCCGTTACAGGCAATAATCCTCTACAAGCAAGATTGAAAGGGGAAAGGTATTAATATTTCTGAATAATGTATCAGCCACATTACAGTGATTCTACAAAAGAACTGGATTCTAGATGGAAGTCATGAATTCTAGTCCCAGATTTTATGCTAGTAAATTGTATTACTTAGGAAGGACACTCACTGGGAGGCCTGCATGTGTTTGTGTGTGTGTGTGTGTGTGTGCACGCGCGTGCGTGCGTGTGTGACTTTATTTATTCATTATTTTTTGCCTAAATTCCTCTTCTGTATAAAAGGGAGTGTAATAATATTTTCTGTGTGCTTATTAATATGACAGGGGCTTTATGTAAGTCTTATTTATTCCTTTTAAGAAATCCATAAATTCGTGATTTTTATGCAGATTATACAGATGAGGAAACTGAAGCTTAGCAAAGTTAAGTGCCTAAGATTTCCCAGCTAATAATTGGAAGGATCAAAATTCATTCAAATTCGTCTGTCTCCAAAACCCAATTTCTTTCTACGAAATCCCATTAGAACGTTTCTAAAATCCCTTCTAACTCTTAATCATCACTAAGTGAGTGCCATGTAATAAATACATTGAATGAGCTTTGCGTACAACCCAAAATAGGATTCTTAATTGTACTCCATTTTTAAAAACATGGTAACAACTGCAACTACTAGTTATTTCCTAACCTGGAACCACTTAAGATTTCCTAATCAGTGGCTTTCACCCCTGGCTTTGCATTAAAATTATTTGGAGAGTTTTTTAAAAATATTGATAGCAGGTATTCTTCTCAAATGACTTAAATCACCATGTGAAAGAATGGGACTTAGAGACAGGTTTTTTCTTGGTTGTTTTTTGTTTATTTATGAGGGTTGTTTTGTTTTGTTTGAGACAGGGTCTCACGCCATCACCCAGGCTGGGGTGCTGTGGCATGATCATAGCTCACTGCAGCCTCGGCCTGCTGGGCTCAAGCAATCCTCCCATGTCAGCCTCCCAAGTAGCTAGGACTACAGCATGCACCACCATGCTCAGCTAATTTTAAAATTTGCTAGAGATGGCTTCTCGCTCTGCTGCTGAGGCTGGTCTCAAACTTCTGGGCTCCAGAAATCCTCCCACCTTGGCCTCCTAAAGTCCTGGAATTACAGATGTGAGCCACCATATCCAGCCAGGATAGTTTGTTTTTAAGTCTCTCATATGATCTCAAAGTGCAGGTTGTGCTGAGAACCATTTCCCTAATGTAAGGCGTAGAAATTGAGCCACCTGCTAGGACTTCAGGACCCTGCCTCCAGGAGGAAGCCCCCTGACAGCTTGGCTGATTTTATCTTATGTGTTTATGTTAGGGGAAACTGCCAAATTGAAATAAGAAAGCCATCTTCCACAAGCAAGCTTCTCCTCCTAAAGACTAACCATAATGCAAGAGAAATTTTCCATTTTCTCTCAGGAATCAGAAGCCTTTGCCACATGCACGACTGGAAGGAAAGTAGTACAAATAGGAGGATCCTTACCTAATGGGAGAAGGGAGATCTTGCCATTCAGGACTTTGCTTTGAATCTCTTTCCACGTGCCTGGGTGCTGTCACAGTATGTGTCTATATTCAGACTGCAACAGGGTTTGAGAGGGTTCCTTGCTGGCAGGCAATGTCATAGGAAAATGGTTTTATGAAGCAGTGATTCCCCCAAGGAGCAAAGGAGTTGAATAAACAGGGTAATTCCTAGATTAGAAGAGCAGGCTTGCCTACCCTATCACACCCAAACCAACTGCCTTCTGATTTCCTTTTTTTGACCCAAATTCTATGCAGAATCTTATAAAAATAAATAAATACATAAATAAATAATGACTACAAACAAAAAACTCAACAACTCCTAATATTAGTTAACTTTTGCATGATTTTGAAAGTGTCAATGCTTATCTTAAAGCACTGTTGTACTAATTTCATTCCTCTACTTATCCTAAAAGATCTTTAGTGACGTGCCTTTTCTCACAGCAGTGCACTTCAGACTTGGGGAAGTTTATTTAAAATGCCTATTTCTAGACTCCATTCCTGGAGGTCTAGAATGAGATGCATTCATAACATATATATTAAGTGTTCTAGGAAATCAATAGGTAACTGGGATAGGCTAAATAATGGTCCTCCAAAAATGTCCTCATTGCTGTCCCCAGAACCTATGAACATGTTACCTTCAGTGGCAAAGGGACTTTGCAGATGTGGTGAAGGATCTTGAGAAGGAAGGTTATTTGGTTATGCAGGTGGTCACAATGTTATTATAAGGGCCCTTATGAGAGGGAAGCAAGAGGATCAAAATCAGAAACAGATGTGATGATGAAGCCAGAAAAAGGTGTGATGATGATGCACTTTGAAGATAGGGGAGAGAGAGCCATTAGTCAAAGGATGCAGGCAACATCTAGAAGATGCAGGCAATATCTAGAAGATAGAAAAGGCAAGGAGATAAATTCTCAGATTGTTTCTAACACCCTCAAAAAGAATGATGCTCTGCAACATCTTGATTTTAGACTTCTGACGACCAGAACTATAAAATAATACATTTGTGTTGTTTTAAGCCACTAAGTTGGTGGTAATTTGTTATAGTAATAATTGGAAACTTGTATAGTTATTCATGAAAAAAAGCATTACCCCAAATAAAACACTTTCTATAGAAATCAACTTCAATATATCTTATTATTGTAAAGCATCCTGGAGCACTAGGAGTGAAGTAAATTGTTCAACTTCACTCCGGGACTTAGGGAAAATCCAGGACAAAAGTGGAATTATCTTAGTTTGGTTCTATCTCTTTATCCTGGCGCTCAAGGTATCTTCCCCTAGTCTAGGCCAACCTTTCCCACATTATCCCATTATTTCTATATACTTACTTCTATAAGCAAGCAAAATAGTGGATATATTTTCCCCCTGAATAAGCCCCATTAATTTCTGTTTCACTACCTTGATACATAGACTTCCCTCTTCCTGAAGTCTTTCCATTCTTGAATGTTAGGTTTCACTAAAGGTCGGGTCCTGCCTCTTCCTTAGCTATCCAGCATTAGGTGAGTACTGACCTTGGAACTCTTATGGTGTCAGTATGGCTGCTCTTTAAAGATCATGATGAAGAATCGCTAGTCTATTTCTTCCTCGGTGTGATGATCTGATTGGCTCTGAGGCTTGTGGATACTTCCTAAAGCAATATTGAAGAAAGAATGAATGACTAAAGACCTTAATCCAAGTCAAGTGCCTAGATTTTCAAGTTCCCTCTCTTTATGAACTATATTTCACTTATTTCCACAAAGTTTTAAAAATAAATACCCAAAGAACTTTAAAAAAAATTTATAGAGATGGGTGTCTCACTTTGTCTACCGGGCTGGTCTTGAACTCATGGCTGCAATCCTCCCACCTCAGCCTCCCAAAGTGCTGGGATTATAGCCATAAGCCACCACACCAGCTGCAAATAACTTCAATTACGTGTTCTGTTAGTATAGATAGATATCTTCCTGGCACAACAGTAAAAATCTTCTCAGTTACTTCACTGAGAGATGATAACTCAATATTTACATCTCACTGGGGTAACACAACATTTTAAAACATATTTCTTATTGGTATATACTTCACATACCATAAACTTCACAATTTTAAAGTGTGGTATTCAGTGGTTTTTAGTATATTCACAGAGTTGTCTGATCATTACCATTATCTAATTCCAAATATTTTAATTATCCCCATAAAGAAACCCGTTAACCATTAGTAGACATTCACCATTCTCCCTCCTTTCTCTAAGTCACTGGCAACTACTAAGCCACTTTCTCACTCTATGCATTTGCCTGTTCTGAACACTTCATGTCAATTAATCTTACAATAATCAAGTGGTCTTTTATGGCTGGCTCCTTTCACTTCACATAATGTTTTCAAGGTTCATTAATGTTGTAGTATGTATCAGAATCTCATTTCGTTTTATGGCTGAATAATATTACATTGAATGGACATACCACATTTGTAATCCCTTCATCAATGACAGACATTTGGGTTGCTTCTACCTTTTAGCTAATATGAATAATTTTATTTGTGCAACAATTTTTACTTTCTGTAGGTATTTGTGAACATATGTTTCCAGTTCTATAAGTCATATATGCCTCTAGGAGTAGAATTGTTAGGTCATAAGTCATATGTATAACTTTTCGAGGTCCTGTCAGACTGCTTTCCACCTTTTCTGTGGCTGCATCATTTCCCATTCCCACAAGTAATGTATATGGATTATAGTTTCTCCACAACCTTGCCAACAGTTGTTATTTTCCATTTTTATTATAGTTATGCTTGTAGGCAAAAAGTAATATATCTCATTGTGGTTTTTAGTTTTCTAATGGATAATGATGCTCAACATCTTTATTGGCCATGTGCATATCTTTTTTTGGAAAAAAATGGCCATTTAAATCTTTTGCCCATTTTTAATAGTTTTTTTTTTCTTTCTTTTTTTTTTTATTGTAGAGAACATAGTCTTTTAAATTAAAATAAGAGTCCAGAAGTTGGGCTATATTTCCCAGATACTAGCTAGTATCTTGCCCCTTTTCATAGATTTATTTGTATACCTCAGGTTATCAGTCCCACTATAGATCTCCTCCCTCACAGCAATCAAACTTAGGACTTCATCCGGAAATGGGTGGAGAGACCACTCTTGCAGCACCAAAAATGCTTACCTGGATGGTCAATGACTGCCTCCTTCTTGTCGCTCAGCTCTCTGAGAGTCCTTGGTTGGCTATGCAGTTCGCTGCACCCAGTTACTTTCTCCTTATATATATATATATTTCTTTTGTTTTTGAGACAGAATCTGATTCTGTCACCCAGGCTGGAGTACAGTGGCACAAACAGGGCTCACTGCACTTTGGACCTCCCAGGCTCAAGGGACCCTCCCACCTTAGCCCCCCAAATAGCTGGGACTACAGGTACGCCACCACACCTGGCTAATTTTGGTATTTTTGAAGAGATGGAGTTTCACCACATTGCCCAGGCTGGTCTTGAGCTCCTGAGCTCAAGAGATCCTCCCGCCTGGGCCTCCCAAAGTTCTGAGATTACAGGTGTCAGCCACGGCACCCGGCCCACTCAGTTACTTTCTATTGCATTGCCTGTTACCTTATTTTATAGCTTTCGTAATAGTCATCATCTGATATTTCTCATTTGTTTGTTTGCTGATTATCTCTTCCTTTTGGGAGCATGAATTCCATGAGGCCAAGACATTGCCTGTTATGACTGATTGTGTGACTGATGCTGACACAGTGCCTGTCACATGGTAGACTGGGGCTGAAGTTCAGTTCCCAGGGGACTGGCTCCTCAGGAAGTAGCATGTGTCACGGGAAGATGTGTGACATGGGGAAGAACTTTCTTGAGGAGTTACCAGGTCCTCCAGTATCAGACCCCTTTATTTTACTTTTTAAAAAGTTTTAAAGAAAATCTGGCAAACTACAAGCATACTCATTTTAATAGTAATTATCAGAAGCAAGTCTAGATTCCAGAAACTAATTTAACTCAATGAATGTGTTAAACTAGTTCAAGATTAATCAGAATCCCTTAGATGTCTTTATTCTTCCTGCAATACTAAATGAAACATAATAAACATTTTATGCTAAATTTTTGCATAGTTTTAAGCTCATCATTTGTGTAGTAGTCTCATTGCTATCACAGATAGAAAAGATAAGGTCTGAATCTATATTGCTCCCCAGGAAACTACATTTTAGCAGCACTTATGAGTAGTCACACCCATCTAAATTCAAATCCTAGCTCTGCCACTCACCTTCAGGAAAAACTTGGCCAAGGTGTTTGACTTATCTGAGTCTCTCCCATCTCTCACTGAGGCTTTCCCAAGTGGGGAAAATAGAGCCAGTAATATAGGCCTACAGAGCTGTTTGAAGATTACAAACAAAACATTGCCCACAATAAGGGAACAATAAATGTTAGCTGATTTTTCTCTCTTTAAATTTCTGTTTCAGCTACAACTCTGTTACGGGTAGGTGTGAGTGAAAGAAATTAGGTTAAAAAAAATTATCTAAAGAAAAAAACATTAGGGAAAACAAAATAAGAATTCTCATTTAGTTGGATAACAGTTCATGAAGGTTTTTCACTGCATGATTGACTTAAGGATTCAGCACCATTTGGGATTTCCTCTTGGCTAGAAGTTGGATTTTATCCAGTTTCCTCTTTCCGTGGGCAGTGTTCCCCAAACTTAGCTGGATAAAGATGTTATTTGAGAATACAGATTCTGGAATGCACTTCAGATATCCAGGTTGGAAACTTGGAAACTTGGTCTTCAAGGATCCTCATGATTGCCCATATAGAGAAAAACAATGCTGTATTTTTTTTATTCTTTGCCAGAAATGAGATAATTTTTTATTTCTTTTCCAGGAAGACCAAAAAATGAACGTGAAAGATAGTTAGAATATACTTAGCTTGACTACTGAGATAGAAATGATGCTAAATAATTGAACAGGAAATTCAGTCAGGATCGTAAGAATAAGCTGCTAAAGAACATTATGTCAAGCACAAAGAAGGTAAGGACTTGCTTCAGGTACACTTGGTCAAATGCTACAGGTGTATGAGAGATGAAACTTAAGACTCAATTTCCTCTTGTATCAAGATCAACTTTCCTCTTGTACGGCTGTACCTAATTTAGTATGTGCACTACTGAAAGAGGTGTTGATTCAAAGTGACATGTGCACAATGCATTTCTTAGTTTGCAGTCTTTGTTTCTAAAATTATCTCTAAATTAGTTGCTTAGAGCCATATAAATCTATTTTAGGAGATGTAGTAAGTGGTTGAAATGGTTAATATGCTTTTAGATTTTTATGATATGATTTAAAAAATCTATTTGAAATAATAGCAGAAGAGCAGTTCAAATAGTCCTGTCTTAAATTCTTGAAATAGAGGCCAGGCGCAGTGGCTTACGCCTATCATCCCAGCACGTTGGGAGGCAGATGTGGGCAGATCACGAGGTCAGGAAATGGAGACCATCCTGGCTAACACGGTGAAACCTCATCTCTACTAAAAATACAAAAATTAGATGGGCGTGGTGGCGGGCGCTGTAGTCCCAGCTACTCGGGAGGCTGAGGCAGGAGAATGGCGTGAACCCGGGAGGCGGAGGTTGCAGTGAGCCGAGATCAGCCGGGACGGCGCCCGCGCTTGCCTCGAGCGCGCTCACTCCGCTCCCGCTCGCGGCCACACAGAGCACGCCTCCTCCTCGCTTAAACACAACAAAACCTTCTGACTAAGACAGCTCTGCGCGCGACCGCACGCTGCCCCTAAAGCAGAACCACCGAGTCTGACTTTCCTGCACGCTAGCGCAGTCCTACAGGACACAACGCATTTGCATGTTTCCTCTGTCCTTCTTGTTCAATCTCTCATCTGTTTTTCTCATCTTCTTCCTCTGCGACCACGACCCTCACAGATATAGTACCAGTCAGCGCCAGCCACCACCCCACACCAGACAACTCTCCTCCACTCTAACAACAAATATCTCCCTTCTTTCCTCACACAGTGCCACC